GACGTGTGCTCTTCCGATCTCCCCAAAACCCCAAAACCCCATTAAAATGATATTTGCCAATTGGTATTTAAAAATTAATATAAATTATGACTTATCTTAAGCTAAATTTGAATTATTAAAGTATGAAGAAATCAATAGCTTTTAATTAACTTTAAATAGGAAACTTCTAATTTTCAAATTGGATCAAATTAGAGAGTGCATTTCTAGATTTCCCATTCGAGTTTTTCTGTATTATAACCACTAATTATAGTTGGTGAAGAGCTCAAATTTATGAACAGAATAGCAGTTTCATTCTATTATAGTTATCCAGTTTTAGGATACTAGAATGTATTTATGAATCCAAATTAGGAATGAAGTTGATTTTTACTCACAACTTTTGTAATACCTTTGTCAAAACAATTATTGATTGCTGTCCTGAAATTATTTCGATCGGTTTATTGCAATTTGACACATCTTGACAAATTTTTAAAATCTTATTCTACTTGATGTCTGAACAGTGCTTCTTAATCCTCTCTAATTAAGTATTTATTTGTTACATCTATTAACTCAGACTCATTTTGATTTCCTTATTTATTTCTAATTTGAATTTCAGATTATTTAGAGGGAGTAATTTTCTTTTATTTTCTAATTAAACTAACTTGAGCTCTTAAAGTTTAATTATTTTGATCAGAAGCATTTTATACACCCATTTTTGGCTCATTATCAGTTTTAGAGACAAGTTCTAAAGTTTCCTCCGTACCATTATTTGACTGCTAAACAAAATTTTTAAGATCATCTTCTGGCTCATCAGAATAGACTGGCTTAAGTTGAGTTGTGCTGGAAGATGATACGGTGATCAGGCCAAGAGAATTGATAATTGCGACAGAAATTTCATTATAAGTTGAAAGACTGATACCTCTCGCACCATCTACATAGTACCACTTGTTAGCTTTTGGTTGATACTTTACTATCCTGTAGTCTTATACATCATCTTCACATTCAAGTCCCCAGATTGAACCGTCTACTCCTCCACTAATACTGACTAAGCAAATTTCTCCATACTGAGGGTCCACCTTATTATCAGCATTCAAAAAGATAGGCTTGTCCATTTTTAGTGTAATGCCCTTCACTCCTAGATAAGATTTGTATTAAACTCCAGAATCTTCATCTCTCATAAAATTATCATTTTCCGATGTAACATACTGTGATTGTCCTTTGCCATCATTAATGGCTATTATTTTTCCATCAGCCATTACCTCAAAGTCCATTTATCCACAAAGAAGTTTTTCATGGTATTCTGTGTATATGCAGTTGTCTGGTCCTAGATAAAACATATTTCCAAGTCTGTCAAATCTAACTGACTTAACTTAGAATGAGTCATCGTAAATATTCCAAACACCTTTTTCCAGATTGAACTTATATACATAAAATTTCTGTCCTTCTCTAGATGAGAAAGTCATCTAAATAGCGAATATTTCTCCTGAAGGAGAAGATTAGACATCTACGAATTAATTAAGAATTGACCATTCCATCTTAGACGTAGTGTTCCAAGTAAAATTATTAACCACTTCTACAGGCCATCTTGTCTGAGATCTCTGTTTAAAAAATGGATTTTTAAGTCCAATCATCCACAAACTATCAAAAAATAGATATAAAAGGGAAATCAGGATCAGTGACTTCATTTTAAAATATAAAATAAACTACTTAAGAAAAATCAATTTGAATTGTATACTCAAACATTTATTTATGGACATGTGGGGTTTTGGGGTTTTGGGG